GTCAAATGTGAGCACGCGGTCCTGCAAGGGATTGCCACGATTGCCACCGATAAGCTCATTTTTCAAAATTCAGCGCTCTAGAGTGGAAGAGCTGACGTGAGGTGGCTGGGATCTGCGCAGCATCCCTTGCATACTACGATAAAGCAGTCTGTTCAAGGGAACATTATCCCACCCCGATCTTGGACGACTTGCGTTGGCATGTCGAAACCAGCCTCAATCTGACTTTGACTTGCTGATACCTGACCTGTTCCCATATCGGTTATGAAGTACATATCATGATGCTGAAGATGAGGAAAGCAGAATGTTTGTCGGGATTCTCAGGGTACACTAGATGACTCGTACAGATCAGGTTCCAGGTTCGCCATATTCTGCACTCCATTCCTCCAGCTGCTCGTCTACTGGAGAGGCGCCTTCGAGACGCCGTGAGCATTGAGAAGCATTGCTAAAACGCTCGTCCGATGGCTCCGCAAGCCCTCGTCCACGTCCGGTTGATTGATAAGGGCCGTAATCCCCTGCACATTCAGCCGGTTCTTGTCGATGCGTGAGATTTCCAATAGCTTCGGTGTGGGAAATGCGCGTACAGCCAGATCACTTCCTTACTGACTATACTGCAGCTATGTCTCCATCCTCGTAGCAGCAGTAGGCTAGAAGTCGAGTCATCACAAGGAGCATACCCTATCATATTGGATTGACGAGACCAGGGTTATCGTACAATGCTAGACAAGAGTTCAGCTTTCGCATAAAAATGGTCAAGCGCTTGGAAGGATGTGGTGACTCAAGTACTCATGACTATCATACCTAAAGAGGAATTATACATATACGTATCATTGTTATTCTAACTGCAAAATTTCAGGCTTCATAATAAATGCCTGAGGCTATTATCTGCTGGTATGAGACTATATTAAAACTAATGCCAACTGAAGAAAAGGAAATATCTATGTGATGATGCTGTAATTCACCCTTCCCGGCTGACGTCATTACTCGCAACCAGCTTCAATTGTCGAGTCCCATAAATCTTGATATTTAATCAACCTGCTCGCTCAAGCAACTTCTCTCTTATCAAATATCACTTCAAACACCATTTTACTAGCCTCAATCCATCATCATGCCTGAATCCTCCTTCTCCATCCGCAGTCGTCGCAGCGACGAGCTCACGCGACTGGCGGACCAGCACATGCAACATGACCTGCAACCCGAAGATCGCAATGTGCTCAAAAAAGCCGCCTCCAGGGTATCTCTCTGGACCACCGTCGGCTCGGCAGTTGGCATAGGCCTCGGTCTCTACGTTGCGTTCCGACTACGAAGCACTCGCAAGGCTTTCTTCGAGGCATTCCGCGCAGCGGAGAAACCCACCCAGGTGGTGTTTTCGGATGGTCGAACTGGTACGACAGCGCTCGCTCGACGAAAGAAAGATCGCAATTATTGACAGAGAAACAGAGGCAATCCCTGATATTACCCCATTACTGAAGCCGACAACATGGGGAGACTTTGCGACATATTTCTTTGCTTCCGCGGGTGGACTGTTCTTGGGCGGGGAGCTGGGTATGCCTGGTGCAACGCTTATATACAGAAGATGCAATGATCGCTAACCTTTTTTACACTACAGGCTTCTTTGCCGGAGCGGCCAGTGGAAGTCGCAGCATTACAAAGGACCCTGAGCGAAAAAAGCGCATCGAGAATGCATTCCGGAAGTTCAGAGCAGACGTGCTGCGCAAGGAAGCGGACGCATTGGACCGCGATCAGAATGTCTTTGAGAAAATGTTCTAGTACATGTTTCCCGGGTTTGATAAGCTGTACGATCGTCTGCTATGTTTCTGATAAAGACCTGGAGTGAACCCTCCATTAGGATCACACAGCTTCACATCTACAAGCAATGGCCGACCGCAATTATTATGAAACCCGACGTATGATCAGGGCAGCTCTGTTGAATTAGCTATGCCATATTGTGCTCCGAAGCGAACCTCTATTCGCACCTATACAGCCTCCAGTCGAGGCAGGACTGGCCAAGACAGTTTCTGTGAAGTAGGCATTGCTGGACTGAATTGCAAGCATAACATCAGCCTCCCTGGCAACTAGGCAACCACCAAGGTACCCTGCATATAAGTGCAGCAACCGCCCGGGTGATCATAGATGCTCGTCCGACAGCTGCGGTATAATCCCGCGCAATGCCAGTGCGACCGCGTTTCCCCCGTGCGATACTCCAATTACTGCTGCGAGGTCTGCCGGTGCCGCATCTTGATACTACTGATCTGCCTTTCCGTAGTATATGATACGAACGTAATGGCAGTGAGCCCGTCTGCCTAATGGATCATGCAGCTGAAGCTCATACTGTAGGGATGCTGGGCAATCTGCGTAGATTGGCAGACATTGTCCCTCTCCAACGGAGATCGATCAATCTCACGACTATCTGCAAGCGCATTGTTAGCGCTAGACATTCAGCGTTTCTTGCGCGGCCCGCAGCATTGCTCAACCAGTGGGCGCCGGCCTTCTCACATCCAATTATGCCGGGAGAACGTTGCGTGTGGAATCCTGTGTATGCGGCTTTCGCAGCTTTGTAGGAACCGTTGCTCCGTGTTCGACGTCCAGCTGACCAGCAGAGGATTCTTCACATCATTCTCATCATGACACAATGTGTCTACTGTTGCCGAATCAGGCTCAGAGTCGAATGATAGCATTCGAAGAACTGTCATCAAAGTAGCAAGTCCATTCCGAGAAGAAAGTCCATATCAATCGACGGTGTTTGCGGAAAGGAATCCAACAATGAATCTGAAGGCAGCCATTGTCCTCCCAAGCGATCAGAGTCGGTGGGTGCAGAAATTCCCGAGACCCGCTCGAGGATCGAGATGCCTTTTCGCTTCTTCTCCAATGACGCATTGATGAGATGACGTGCTGTGTGAAGCGCTTCATTTGCCAAATGCGTGTTCAGTCGTTGTGCGATCATTTCCAAGGTTTCCACGGCTTCCGGGATACTTTCCAGACTCTCGGTGGTATCGATGGCGACAAGGACGCAGATGAACTGGAAGACAGTACAAACGACATTCCACCACGGATGGTTCTGTGCAACCAGTCGCCGGGCAGAAGGTAACGCGGAACGACCGATCTCGATGACTCGATCGAGCTGTGCTTGAGGCGTCGCAGACTCCAGAAGTCGAATCCGGCGGTAGATACAAAATGCCAGGTCTGCCTTGACTAATATCAAAAAGTCATGCTCAACCGACGCCTTGGCCAGATTCTCGAGGCCCACGGCCAACTCATCCCGCCTGGCAACCGGATCAGCGTTGTTGTCGAGCGGGACAGCTCCGACCAGACCGAATAACTGTGGTGTCAGGTCGCTGGACGGTGCATCGCACCTCGAGTCTCTCTTCCATGTCAATCCAAGGTCTACCACTGACCGTCCATAATCGTAGGCTATGATTATATTCAAACACTGAGCTACCTGGGCAATGCGGTCCCGTGTCTCAGCGATATCCTCCAAAGCCTTTCTGCCACTACCTCCGGTCGTCAGAATGACCGCGTCTAATGGCTGATGTAGACCAGCGGCTTCAACGAGATGCATCGTAGTGCAGCTACACAACCAAGCCGAGTGCGGCCGACTGGTCGATCGCACATAGATGGTACGCAAGATCCACCCGGCGATCTTGTCAATCGAAGGTATCCGACTGACCGAGGCATCTTCCAAGATGTCCTTCGCATGCAGCATGACCCTCGTCTCCTCTTCTTCGCTGAGAAAACCAGAGAAGAGAGAGCCGAGGGCAATGACTCCGCTGATCAGGGCCTCCAGGCCCAGGCCTTGTGCTTTGCCATGCCAATGCTCCTCGCATCGGTGGTACAGCCGCTCCATGTCCAGCAGTCCAAACACCGGATGGACGGTCGACGAGTACACATCCATCAGACTTTGGACTTTATCCCATGAGATAAATGCGGTCAAGTCAAAGGAGACACCACAGCTGGGCTCGGCGCGAACTCCAGGGTTATACGCAAAAGAGTGCAGTCGCGGGGGTTTTGCGGCCTGCATATCCAGGCCGACCGTCATGGGGAACGCAACTGATGCGTGCCGGCCCATATACCTGAGTTTTGAAGGCTCAAGGATGCCATGAGAGGAAGACGAGATCACCGAGCGGCCTCCCGGGCTTTTCGCTGTTGCCTCCGACAAACGAGCAGCCTTCGTAGAGGGCAGTGGCAACGAAGAAACCGAGTCGGCATTTCTTTTCACAGACTTCACAGAGTCCTCCAGAAACTGGCAATCGTACCCATAGCCGGTACATGTCGAGCATGGAAATTTCCCATCGCACTTTCTTTTGCGTTGGCGGCAGGGCGCGCATGCCTGTCGCGACCGCTGGCGCATGTTTCCCGAGGACAACGCACTTGACACGGTCGCATTTGCGTCTTGCACCTCGTGCGTCATGGCAGGACAGATCTATGCGCTCTAAGTCATAGTCAGAATGATATACTTGTGGTCTGGCCTTTGTACACTCTCAGACTGTTGTGATAAAACCTCCTCGGCTGCCTGAGGTGATTGGTTGAGGGGACATGACTGATCCGTCACGTGCCAAAGTCACATGATTGAGATTGATGCCTCATTTCCCGCTTGATGCCTTACAGTCTGTTGTCAATAGACCAGAGCTGTATATTTTGTTTTAAGAATTGTTCGATATTCGGTCCCACGCTATCAACAAGAGTGCTATCCCATTTGAGCTTCATGCCATTCCATGATCTTAAACCCGAAAGCACGGATCTTCCCCTCTGCAGTGCTGCAGCAACCAGGATAGCGAGCTGTGCTATTTCGCAAGGGAATACGAGATTCATTTCCCTTCATTGGGGCAGATGCAATGATAAGACTCCTCCGCCATTGAGATGTGTAGGAAACTCGTAAAATCTCTCGGTATTTGAGGAACCCGTCCTTCAAAAGCTCTGATCTCTCTGCCGCTTGAATCTTGCCCTTCTTATTGACCTATGCCCCTGCCAAGCCTCGTATGGGTTGATGAGCTACAGAAGAGGCCATGCCGGTCATCACACGACACATAGGTCAAATATCGCTCCTCGGCGAGAAGACCGCAGGACGGGATGTTCGACGAATATCTGCGTCCTGGCTGCCACTGACCTCCTCCAGACTCGCCAGGATGAAACTGCTTCTCCTTACTTCGGTCTCCGCAGACCCAAGGGCATGCACTGGCGATACCAAACTTTACCCTCAATGAGACGGACAACAAGTTCATCCGGCGCTGTCCAAGATCTTCACAGATGCCAGCAAGACGGTAACCGTCACCCAGGTCCTGGTGGACGCGAATCGGGACCTGCAAAAAGGCACAGTCGCCTACCCAATGTCGGAGCGGTGACTCTGGAATTCCGGTGACGAGTCCACAGCCAAGTGGATTCTGCAAGGAATGACAAGTCCTGGCGATGCGCTGGCTGTCGGGATATACGAGAGCAAGGACGTCTGGCTTGCCAGGTGGTATGCCCTGTACGTGGTCGACATCAGCCATGGCCTGCGGGTGTTCGACAGGGACAACGTCCGGAAGGTCGAGAGTGGCGATGGCATCGGTAAGATGGCTAGAGGCGAGTACTCGGCAGCCAATTACGCCTATGTCCTTCCTCAGACGAGGTGAGTTCTCCGTTGGTGTACATGACAGTAGAAAAGATGCTAATGGACTTGATTTTGTACGGGTATTATCGGTGTGGTGGAGCGGATCCGAGCGCGCCAGCTCTTGGAGATTGTCACTATCCATTCTAGGCTTCATCATGGCAATAAATCAGCATCCTATCATGCAGTCCCTGTGGATATCGCCAAACTACCCTGCGCCGAAGGCGTCTCCGGATCCAGCTCTAGCGACCGCAATCGCGTAGCCACCAGCTGCGTCTCCGCGTCGTCTCGTCCCAGAATGCCCTCGAACCCGGTCAACGCCTGTCGATACATTGTCTCTGCCTCCTGCGGCCGTCCGCACTGCGCATAGACAAACCCCAATTTGTTCATCGCCCGCAGGGTCCAGACATGCCGCGCGCCCACTGTCCGCTCAAACCCCGTCGCCGCCCGTCGGTACATCCGAGCCGCTGCATCCAGGTCCCTCCGGGCCCAGTACCACTCGCCCAGCTGATTGACCGTATTCAGTGTGAACACATGCTCCGAGCCCAACCGCGTCTCGAACCCGGCCAGCGCCCGCCCAAGCATCGTTTCAGCCTCGGCCTTCCCCTGGCTCTGCAGCGCCACGCCCAGATAGTACACCGCCAGCAAGGTRGCAACGTGGTCTGCGCCCAGCGGGCTCCGCTCGAAACCCTCCAGCGCCCGCCGACACATTTCCTCCGCCCGCATCGGGTTGCCGGAGTACCCATGCACCGAGCCCAGGTCGCGCAGTGCACTCAGCGTCTCCGGATGCCCGTCGCCCAGGGCGGACTGCAGCGTCGTGAACGCCGCATGGCACAGCCGCGCGGCCTCGGTCATCTTGCCCTCGTCGCGGTAGATCAGCCCGAGATCCCGCTTCGCGTTGGCGGTCTGGATATCGGACTCGCCCAGCACGGCGCTGAGCCCGGTCACCACGCGCTGGCCCAGCGCTCTCGCCTGAGCTAGCTTGCTCTGGTCCTTGTAGACCAGGGCGAGAGCGTGCGCCGTCCGCAGCGCGCTAAGATGGTCCGGCGCCAGCGTCTTCTCGAAGCCGTGGAGTGCGCGGGTCAGCATCTTCTCGGCCTCGGGCAGTCTGCCTTGCGTGCGGTACAGCACGCCGAGGTTGTATGTGGCTTCGAGGGCGGAGGAGTCGTTCGGCCCGCGCAGGGTCTCTGCCGTGCGCAGGGCGCGCTGGAAGACGGTCTCGGCGGCGGCGGGCTTGTTTGCGGCGTGGTAGACAGCGCCGAGCTGGTTGAGCGTGACTAGTGTGACGCGGTCGTGTGGGCCGCGCGTAAGTTCATAGCCTTGCAGGGCCTGCGAGAATAATCTCTCCGCTTCGGCGAGCTTGTTCTGGCTCTGGTAGCAGGAGGCCAGGCAAGAGGAGAGCTCGACAGTGGAGATGTCGGTGGGCCCACGGAGGGAGCGGTAGCCGTCCAGGGCCCGCTGGAAGGCGCGTTCCGCGTCGTGGAACCGGTTCTGTTTCTGGTAGGCGATACCCAGGCGGTGCAGACTGAGGAGGAATGAGGGGTCGTTGAGCTTGTCGGGCTGGTCGAGATGATCGTAGCCTGCGACGGCGGCGTGGAACATGCTTGCCGCCTGGGAGGGCTTGCCCTGGTTCCAGTAGAACAGACCCAGCTCATTGAGGGCTTTCAGCACTGCTGGACTGTAAGAATCATCCGGCCGGTGGTCCACCAATTGCAGCATCTGGTTCACATGAGGAAGTAGTCGCTGTTGGAGATGCGATTCCCCGAGAGGCAGCTGTGACGTGGCCACCCCGAGAGATACCAGGGCGATGGCCACGAACTCCCTGTCTTTCTCTGCTGTAGATATCTTTTGGACATGGCGGCATGCGTGACGAATGAGCGCATGCATCGAGTAGGTCTCCCGAGTGCGGTCCGTTTCGATCAAGGCAAGGTCTTCGAGGCGGTCGATAGCCGGCCGCAAGGCGCCTTTGCTGGCCACAATGCGACAGAACCAGTCTGGCATGTCCGGGTTGGAGGCTCCGGAATGAAGCAGTTCGAACCAGACCGGGTCAGGGCCAAAGTATGACAGGAGACGCAAGACGTTGGCGGCAACGGGATCGGTGTCGCGGGTCCGGTTGAAGGCGACAAGGATGGCAGTGAGTGATTCCCGATCACAGGATGGAAGTGTCCCGGAATTTACTTTTAGATCAGCCTGGATCTGCTCATAGCTATGTAGATATGTCGACACGCTCCACCCAGTTGAACGCATCACAGCACTGGCTAAGACGATGGCCAGGGGGCGTCCATCCAGTTGTCCAAGGAGGCGTAGAAGGTCTGCTTTAGTACGCCATCCATCCTTACCGACTTTCAGAACTGCGTCCGACTCACCCGTCAGCAACTGCAGCGCCTCGCCTTCAGCCATTTTCTCCACCAGACGAGGCCTCCCCAGTTCTCCAGCCTGCAGTAACCGCGCCGTTATGATGATTGAGCCCCGATCCACCTGCGGGAAGAACGACCGGATATCGTAGCCCTCGTCGTCAACACGTCCTTCGCCCAAAGCATGCGGCACGTTGTCAAATATGAGCAGCCACTTGCTATTCTCTGGCGTTTCCAACCATTTGAGAACTTGTTTCGCGCGGTTTTCCATCTCTTTCTGGCTTTGAGGCTCCCCAAGTGTCTTGATATCCGGCAGGTTGACGTACACCCGGGCCAGAGACCGAGTTACCGTCTGGCGACTACGTGCGTCCAGCCAGACGACGGCGGTGAAATCGTCCTTGTGCAAACGGGCAAACTGCAGCGCTAACTGGGACTTTCCCATCCCGCTGGGTCCGTGAAGCGCGACAACTTTGCGCATCTGACCCTGATCGGGCGAAAGATCCGTCCACAGGGCGTCGAGATCCCCCTGTCGGCCGACGAAATGATGCACGGCTGGCATACTGTCCATATCAAACGGCAGACGAAAGGCGGACTCTACTCCCATCAGAATGAATTCTCCCTAGATATATACATATCTCTTTCGGTATGTACATTACCACTCACCATCCTGGGATAGGATCTTCTGCACCGTCGGCGTCTGCTTCGTATGTGCCACCGACGCTACCACCAACAGATCCTTTGCACACGCCGCTGCGGTAGCCGCCGCATACGCCTGCCACTGTTTATGCTTGTGGGTATCGGAATAGTCACAGATCCCCCGGACGGCGAGACACGGGAAGTTATCCATGAGCCCCGCCGCCTCCATCTCGAAACAGAGAATCCCAAATTGTTTGCCCAGGCGATCCCGCGTCAACGCATGCTTGATCACCTGGTTGCCCGATGCGATCAGCCCGTAGTGGATGCGCGGGTTCGTCGACCGACGCGGCTTGCGGGCCACCACTCGCGACGCGTCACAATCTTCGCAGGTGGTCTCTGCAGGAACGTGTTCGTATTCCGCGGCGAAAAGCTGGTCGTCCTCCACTCCGGGGTAGACAAACTGCTCGAGGTCCGGGTAGTCGTCGACAATCTTGGTAAGGAACTGCGGAATCTGCGACTTGCCCAGGAGGTGGTTGGATTCCAGGTCTGCAATCGCGGTCAGCAGCACCGAGGGCGGTTTGTTCAACGATCCGGTCTGCTCGAAGACGCCGCCGCTGACCGTCTTGCCGTAGTCGTATTGCACAACACCGCTGTAATGGCCCGTGGGCTTGCTGATCACGACATCGCCCAGCCGGATGTCGGCGCTCTTGCTGGGCACGCCGCCGCCGATGCCGACCATCAGTCCGAACCGGATGGCGGGGAACGTGATGGAGAGGTGCGAGGCGACGACAGCGGCCGACGTCGTGCCGTACACTCCCGCTGGGAGACAGGCGATGACGACGTTGTGTCCCTGAATGGCCCCGACCGAGTACGTGTTGGGGTCTTGGGCGGATTGGGACAGTTTGGCGTGAGGCTCGTCCAGCATTGCCTTGGCCGCGGCCATTTCGATTGGCAGGGCGCATATCCACCCTACGGTGTAGTCCTCATGCGTGAGGGTTTTCATTTTGATGGTAGACGGCGGCGTCTAGACGGGGGATGAACTGGAGAGAGGAAAACGGATAAAAAAATAGGGATGTTCGTCAGAGGTCGACGATTCAAAGAGGGGGCATTCCTATTGGGAGAGCAACTGCAGCCTCATGGTGGGGTGTTTGCCAGTCAGCAGATATTCGCTGCAGTGAGTGAGAGCCAGTCGAATAGCTGAACTCGACTGCTCCAGTAAAGTAATCAGAAAGCTGCAGGGTTCGCAACCTCCCTCGCAAGGCTGTAAGTCTCAAATATATTACTGGCCTGGCTGACTGACAGTGGCTTTCTGAACCATCAGCCGTCCACCTGGTCGATATCTTGCCGGGGCACAGCCACCACCAAGTGAGAGAGGCAGCTGCATCTGCACCACAGCCGGAGAATCCACTCCAATCACGGTCTTTTCATTCATATCTACCCTGACAGATGCAGGCTGGCAGTGATCTAATTGGAGGGAATCTGGTGCGGAGGAGACAGCGGAAATACCGAAGTCTTCATCCTTGCCGGATCTGGGCGAGTCTTTCCCTGTCATCTGTCCGCCTGACCATTATTATTGTTGTGCTCGTCAATGCCTGATACAAGGCTGAGGGGCCCAGATCAGCAATGCCTAACCATTTGATATATTGTCAGTGTCATGGATGGCGACCAGGAACCAGCATCTGCTGTCTGCAAAATATCCGGATCGTCCATCCGGACGCTTTTTCCGTCCTCGTCACTCACTCGGTTACTATATACTCGATAGCCTCTACTATACTTGACAAGCCCGGTTCTCTATCCCTTAAAACATGACCGTCACCTTTTATACCGGGTTTTTGAATACCCCCATGGGTCAAGGCAACTATGAAGGGTACGTCGACATGCCCGCCAAGCAGCCGCTGGGCCAAGGGAAAATGTGGTTCAACGGCGGCAATTATTACGACGGCAACTGGTCGTACGGTCGCTACCACGGCACTGGCGTCCTCAAGACGGCGACGTTCGAATACACCGGCGACTTCGCGGCCGGCCTGGTCACCGGCCAAGGCATCATGAACTACAATGACAAGGGACTCTACCAGGGATGGTTCCTCAACGGCGGTCGCCACGGCCGCGGCACCATGAAGTGGAACAACGGCATCGTGTACACCGGGCAATGGAAGACAGACGCGATCAAGGGGTTTGGCAAGGTGACCTGGCCCAACGGAGACTGGTGGGAAGCCACATGGGACGGGAGCTTTTCCAGTATCTGGGCGGGCAAAGGCCAGCAGGGGAAAGGCCGGGCGCGGTGGCATGACAAACGCAATGAGGGAAAGGTCTATGTGGGAGCCACTAAGGGCGGGTTGAGACATGGCTTTGGCACTCTCACCACCCTGGAGTACAAGTTCGAGGGGAATTTCCAGGATGGACGTCGAGATGGGCGCTTCAAGGTCACCAAGCTGGCCACTCAAAAGATCACCCATCGGACGTATGAGGATGACACATGGGTGGATGACTAGTTGTTAGTTGTTTGAGCAGGAAAGTCTCATGGCTGAGGAAATCGTCAATCTCAAAACTAACACACTCCAAAGCTTTTCACTCCAGCTCCTTCCGGGAGTCTGCTACTACACATGGCCACAGTCCCAGTGATCTTGTAGACAGACCTTGACCAGGCTGCCTCCATTACTATCCAACTCATCTTTGCGTCCTGATAACCAGGCACTGCACTGTAATCAAGCAGATCAGTAGATGAGCAAATGACAAAAGAACTGTCGTCTGGTTTAGCTACTATGGTGAGTTAAGGATCAAGCCGCGGCGATTGTACACTAACTGACCCCTGCTACATTGCAGCTTGATCTTCACCATTCTGCAAATTCCAAGGCAAGTACAACCATGTTATAGCTGTTACTTCTATCTTCACACATCTAACGTCTAGCTCTAAAAAGAGCTTTTCAACTTTGCCCGCACTTGTTGTCGATCCGAGTACAACCCATTCAATCAAGTATTCCGCCTGACGAATGTGCGAAAGAAAGGAATCCCCGCCCTCTATTAGGCTATGGAGCACGGATGAGTTCACATAGATGAGAGATCCGTCGACAACACATATGCTGGTGGACATGGTCCCAAAACCCCGCCATAATATGCCGCAATGCTAGAAGGCAGTAAGCTGGTAAAGTGGCTTCTAGAGCCAGACTCTAAGTTCCGGCATGCATGGATCCTTCTTGATTGTTTTTTGACTCGCTCGACACTCTGCTGATCGGCGAGTACCAGACCGATGACGCTTCAACTCCCATTTGTCTGGTCAAATATCCCCTGGACTATACGACGCGCCGTCTGCGTAAGAAACGGGCTCGCCGGTGCCAGAGAGTAGCTAGAGATAACTCAGGATTAGTGCACTAAACTTAGATAACCTATATCTTTAGTAATTGACTAATTGCTAGAAAATAATCAGGTTATAGACATACTTCCAGGTCATCTATAATAGTATCCTCTTGCTTAGCTTGTATAGAGAAACCAGCTAAGTCTATCCTAAAGCACTCTAACTCATAGTGTGAAGTTTATAATATAGGAAACAAGCACTGTTACATATTTAAAAATAGCTCAGCTGTCTAATTCAGGAAAAATAATAGATCTTAACCAGCTGGAGAAGACCATAAGAACATGTTTTGATGAGTCTCATGGTAGAAAATGGTCGAGGTCTAAGGGTGCAACATGGCCTCCTTATATGTTAATCAAGGTGATAATCAAGCTATTGGTCATGGAAGAGTATGGGCTTGTTAGTTATCATGGATTGGGCACTTTAACGGATCTCTTACCTGACTGCATGAGATCGCCTGTGTCAGTTGCGAAGACTGACTTATGTACCCGACTTCACCTCATGATAAAAGAAGCAGCTGCTATTACTAGGTAACATACCGTGATGACCATTGACAGACGTATCTGCTGCCAATCTACCGAGAGATAGTTGTTGTCAAGCGAAATTTACAGAGCGGGGGTGGGTCTAGTAGGAGTCCTGGCTTCTGTGGTACATCTTACTGGTAAACCTAGCTCATTGGAAAGCTGGAACGTATATCCGTAACGATCTACACAACTTCAATATGATTCAAGCAAATTAAGGCGCCACCTGCATTCGTTCCATTGTGAGACTATGTCATTGGTGGTTAGACTGTCCGTGCTCGTTTGTGGAAACGAACACGGACCTCGAGCCCAGCCCAACAAGCCTCTGATAGCGTATCAGTGGATTTCGCGAGAAGACCTTAGCTCCTGGTATGGCAGAATGACGTCCTAGCCAATAGAGTACCAGAATGCTGAACAGAAGAACATAGCGTAGAGAAGAAAGGAGATAGGGAATGTGGGTGGACTGGCTCTGGATGGCAGAACACCAATCCACGCCTGCGCCGTGACTATGTGACACACAGACTGTAGGCGTTGGCGCAAAAGCAGAGGACTGCTAGATATTATTAGAATAGCAAACAATGCTCAGTATCATTTTAATTATATCATTTCCCGAAATGGAAAAGGGCGTATCCTTAAGCGCTTTCGACATTTATTTCAGTTCTCACTTGCTTCAAGCCGCCGCACAAAAGCTAGCATTGCTTCAGAATCACAAGGTGGCTTGCCATCGGTTGTGCTTGGCGTATTCGGCCTGATCGCAACAAGTGCAGTAGTACTACATGAACGACCATATTTGATATTTCAACGGCTGATCATAACTTTAGATTCGCCCGGGGACGGAGGAGGGCGCGGGCGAATCGCCTTGAAGCCCTTTCTCCAGCCTAGTGCTACATAAAACTCAAGATCAAATCAGATCCATGGCTTGCTTTTCCACCGAATAGCAACAGCCTATTGACGATCAAGAAACATAACTTACTGCGACATGATCAGTCCGCTTAATACCTGAGACTACTGCGTTCTTTTGTAATAGATCCGCTCGAGTATTGTGTAAACTGGACGGACTATAAAGATAAATCCCCATCCTCTGCAGATAGATGGGAGTCGACAGTTCACGGCTATTCTAACTTAGATCTCCGACTGATTTTTTGATATCATATTATCTTCCCTTCCTTCCACTTCTTCATCTTATTATCTGTCAGTCGTTCACAATGTCAAGAGCCTTTTCCACCACCGCCCAACAGCTGAAGAAGCTCAAATGGAGGCTTAACGGGACGACGGTGGATGTCGCCTGGGCCCAGCGCACTGCGGAAAAAGCAGTAGACAAGGCTCCTGGATTGGCCGGTAAAGTTGATAGTGGGGTCGTCCAGTACGCGTGTTCTACTCGTCCCAAGGCATGCATAGCCCATCTGACAGGAACAGAGGAAATCCTCACCCAACAGATAAAACTGGGGATTCTTATCACGCTTCCATCACCCTTGGTATCAACGACGTCCAGGGGAAGGACCGTGTTACATCTGCACATGTTTACCCCGACGGGAGCGTTGCTTTCTCGAAGGAAGTGTACGGGCGAGTCAAAGTTGATGTTGATCCTGCTGCCCCCAAAGAACACAGCGCTTCCAAATAAGCAACAGTGACTCCAGTTGTCATGTATAAGCACATTTAGCCGCGCGGGGGAGGAACGACAGTGGACATGTAGACATGAGAAATAATTTTGTCTTTATGAAAATTTGACCATGAACGGGTGCTCATCAAATATAAAGGCAACCATACTTTTAACATATAAGAAAGTAATATTCTGTAATTGATAGAGGGTAGTGAGCCGCTGGATACATTGGAACTAGTTGAACTAGTTAGTTTACTAGTTCGCCCTGGCTTAGTCATCCTTGGTAGACTTCTGAACCATCGGCTTTGCGGACATGGAAGCTCCCTTTCGCTCCCCGCCTCCAAAAATTAAACTACCACAAACATAGGCTAGAAATGCCCGCCGACATTTTATTCTATAGTCTTTCCCATGCTCAACACCTTTTCTTCGGGGTAATTCGATATTCTAATTGCCGGCTTTGAATGCCTTGACTATTTCCTATTGTGCTCCCTCTTTGAGCTTGCAGTTAAGCAGCAAACTATTTCATCACACATCAGAACAAGCCATCACTTGAAACAGCTCCGTTGAAGAGTCCACTTCCCTATGCTGTGTATTCCACAGCGCGCATGTTACTCGTCTCTATGACTGCAGTACAGTCAATAAGCCGTATGATGAAGCGCACGCTTTCCCTCCGCACTAAACCACTCCAATTCCCTCCGGCTCAGTCTGCCCCTCCAATTCCTCAGCACAAACTTGTTGATGAAGAAGCCTCCCCAGCTTACAACCCCAAATACTTTTATCCAGCTACACCAGGGGAGATACTTGCCAATCACTATCAGTTACTAGTGAAGATCGGTTGGGGCACACGTTCGACTACATGGCTGGCGAAAGATATCACAAGGTATGCACCCAATTGTGCTTCTGTCATGCCGACTGCAATAACAGCCTAATGTACTAAGGGATTTTCATTTAGATACAGGTGGCAGTCTGAACGTTTCATAACACTGAAGATAATAAACAACCGCAGCCTTGATGAGGCTTACCGTGAACGTGACATTGAGGAGCACATTTCAAGGCAAAATCCAACACACCGCGGCCGTGCGATCATTCGGACCCACCTTGACAGCTTCGAGGTGACAAGTTCAGAAGGGAGCCATCTATGCCTTGCATACGAACCTATGCGGGAACCTCTGTGGATTCTCCAGAAACGCTTTGTTGATCAAAGACTCCCTCTCCCCATTGCAAAGGCATATCTCCTTATTCTTCTTGCTGGCCTTGACTATCTCCATTCGGAATGCAGGGTTGTCCATACCGGCAAGTAACTAATTTTCCTACTACATTGAACACCTTTTTTTTTTTTTTTTGGAGAAATAAGTTGCTAATCTTTCTGGTTCCTGCTAGATTTAAAGCTTGACAATATTTTGATGACCTTCGAGAATGAAGACGTTCTCCCCAACTTCCTCAAAGAACAGATCAATAACCTGCCCATGCAACGCAAAACCAACGCAATGTCTGGGCAAACAATCTATCGCTGTCACAATGATTTTGGGCCCCTGGACTGGAGAGAACTGAGAAAAATGGTGCCTAAAATCGTGGATTTTGGGTTAGCGACTTCACTCGAGAACGACAGCCAAGGACAGGCCGGGAAGAGTGAAGTTGGTCTTCACCCAATACAACCGGACCAATATCGTGCTCCGGAGGTCATACTTGGCTGCGGATGGAGCTTTAGTGCAGATATATGGAATTTTGGGGTTCTGGTATGAAATCCCTATTTCCAAAGTTTTATTTTTTTCCTAGCTTTTTATCAGCCGTCAACAATGGAAACGGGTCTATTCGTCCAGATCCTACATCATTCCCAGGTAGGGTTACGTCATAGGCCACAACTGACTCCCCTGCCGCAACAGGCCTGGAACATTATTGAGCGCACGGAGCTGTTTCATCAGGTGAATGACGCTCAAGGGCATTATGATGCCAAAGCGCACATAGCGGAAATGATCGCATTGCTTGGCCCACCCCCCAAGGAGTTACTCGCAAAATCCGATGCCATGACGGAGTTTAAATGGCCCAATTCTATCAGAAACGAGGCAGGCAAGCTCTGCAGAAACGGGCGAGAGTATTTTGAGGGGCCATTTTTCAATGAAAGAGGTGGGCGGTGCAGAAACATCTAATAGATACCATTATTTTTGCTGACTCATTCGTCCTGGCAGGCGAATTCTTTTATGATGATCTAATACCCGCTCGAAAACTCGAAGATTCAATCCAACTTTTAGGAGAAGAGGAGAGACCAGTCTTCGTGTCGTTTGTCAAACAGATGCTCGCCTGGCTTCCAGAAGACAGACGAACAGCTAGTGAGTTAATGGGACACCCTTTTTTAACCTGCTGAAAGTGAGGGCGGGCTGTCTAAACCTGTCAACCTCCTCGACAATATCGAATTAGATAGGGGCTGTCGACCTGATATGATTATTTCTGTTTGAGATCTCTCCAGATACACAAATTTTGCAAAGAAGGGGAGTGTAAGTAATCAAACAACAGGATGAAATATTCAGGCTCTATTCTGGATGATGTTGTCAAATTTATTGCTCTATCGCCCAGTCATTCATGTCTTCCACAATGTCCGGTCTGTTCCCTGAGTGACGAGAAGTAAGTTTGAAGTGTACTGGCTCGTGATTTTTGAAGCGCTCGGTAATTTGTACGGTTTTACCAGCACCGACATATATGGCCATAGTTAAGTTACCAGCTTGGAGGCTTACTCAGCGAATCAAAGAATGGATGCTAGGAAGTCGGTACCGACGCTAATAAAGCGGCTGGCTGTTTCGGACAAGCTGTATCCGATGGTTTGGGGCGCTGGTCCACAGCTTCCGGCCCCGTCGTGCGGACGATGATTGTCTGATTCAGAAGTCGGAGACTCAGACTCTTCGCCGACAGAGAGGCTCCATTGCTAAGATGTTTTGAGGTCTGGATATGATCGGATTCGCATATGTGCTACGATATGTCACCCGGAGATGGCCAAAGACGTCCCTGGCTTACGGATGGATGATCCCCTGATAGCCCCAGGAGCAAGAAGTTGTGGCAGTGAAAACTGTTTGCCTGAAATAAAAGCCGTTCGGGAACGAAGGGGCAGCTGGTCATAGAGACAGGAGTTTGGTATTTAAAGACCGGAATTTGTGAGATGCAGCGGCTTGGTTCGAGTGAGGACCTAAGCCATAATTGAATCCGCCACGACGTATGGATTGGAATATCCTGCAATTTTCAGCATCGACTTAGCTGGCTCAGTCAGGAAGCTCAATTTTTCACGTGGACCCCCGGAGAGGCTGCCATCGGATCGAGCTACTTCCCTCCATGTAATGAGGATCTGACCTACAATGAGGCGAAGAAGGACTGGTACATGGTGACGGAATGGCAGAACCAGAGATACATCCTGGCATATAAGAAGTAGATACTGTGATGGCTTGTGGACTCATGAGGTAGTCTCTCTGGAGGCTAGGATGAAGACAAACTGTTTGTGATTCTGGTCTGGATTGATGATTGTTTGGTTGGATTACTGCTACCAGTCAGCATCTAGTCTTGCCTACAGACAATCAAAAATTCATGTTTCTCTTTATATACATAGATATACATATGGCTATCATCGAGAGTTCAGAAGGACTGACGAGGATGATTGCATTGAGGTGGGCGGAGATGAGAGACCAAAAAAAGGGTGGAAAAAATTGCCTCCATCCAGGATCGAACTGGAGACCTCAGGATTTCAGGAACATCCCTTCTGTTGACAGAAGAGTCATGTGATATGAGACCTGCGTGATAGCCAACTACACCATAGAGGCAATTGTTGAGATAATGCGCCTCTGAAAAAGTATATGTAGAAAGCCATCGATTTGAATAGCTATCGCTGGTCTTCCACATTTGGATGCCCCAAATCTGTGGTAGGTGCTGTAAATGTATTAAATAATATCTTATAAAGTTATAATGATTGCTAGATTATATGATATTAGTATATTACTTTTCTCTGCGAAATTAGAATAACCATAGAAATGATTTTATCAGCTTAAGACTACCAGTGACATCCTGCCACTACAGCAGATATATATTTCAACCTGAGGAGAGTGTTAGTGATTACAAGAGAAATATTGATTTCCTTCCAACCTGGTGTAGTGATGATACACTGTTAATGGTTTAACTGTTTAAGTTATGCTACAAGTCCGCAATTAAATGCTATCGACTTGATACAGAGATCGCTCTAATAATACAAAATGCAATCTATGGCTTTATCCAAAGACCAGCATAGCGATCCTCCTTTCCAGAATTGTACCCACTGAAAGCGCGAAGAACATAGCCCTCCTTCTTATACTTGTCGAATGCTGTCTGGAAGCCTGGTGAATCCAATCCATGCTTGGCGACCCAGGCACCAGAGGCCGACTTGTCCCAGATGGCCGCATAGTAGACGTGGTCGTCTACCTGATACCCATCGACGTCGATCAGGCGGTATCCGTCCTTGACATATTTGTCAAAGCGCGACTGGTATTCGGCAGAGGTCATGTTGGCATAGGAGAGCCAGGCGATGTTGTCGTTCTTCTTCTCCCAGATCGCAGCAAAGCGCTCCTCGCCCTTGAGGTCGTAGCCACTGATATGAGTGAGCTTGTAGCCCTGTTTCAGGTACTCGTCGAAATATTTCTGCATCGATTCGACCGTCATTCCATGACGGGTGACCCAGCCGGCAGAGGGTGACTTGTCCCAAATGGCAGCATAGTACGCATTGTCGCCGACAGTGTAGCCATTAACCTGAACAACACGGTATCCCTGGCTGAGGTACTCGTCGAATTTCTTTTGGTAGTCGGCAGAAGTCATGCCATGGTGAGATTTCCAGGCCACCGAAGAAGACTTCTCGAAGATAACGGCAAAGTTAGGCTGGCCGTTGCGTTCGTAACCGCTGACGGAATTCAGGCGGTAGCCTTGGCCCACAAGATCATTGAACTTGGCTTGGTATGCATCGGAGGTCAGCCGGTAGTAGGCGTGCCATTCATTTGCCTGAACGCACACAGCTGAGA